AAGTTTCATCTGTCAATTTCACTTAAAAATAAAGTATACATGCAATAATTTCTTCATCCCAAATTTCAATTTTTTGAGTTGGCCCGTTTAAAAAATAAAAGGGGGGACATTAAAGAAATGCATTGTATAGAGTACAGGATTCTCCATCGGTCAGTAAATACCACGACACAGAAAAATAAATATATGAGAGATACAAAAACACATGATATAACAATGGACAAAAGTTTTAAAATAACTTAATATTACCAATAATTTTGGGTCACACAGACAAGGTGCTGCACTTTTAAATAAAAATTCCACATCGGCAACATGTACATTTTTCTCAAGTATAAATAGCATTTTACTATAAACAATATTTTATTTTTTTCCGCAATATTAAGTGAAGTGAAACATTTCTTTAGAGGTGGTTCCAGTTAGGTGAAAAAATTAACAGCTCCATGTGGTTTCAACACCTAATGGGACGACACTTCACCCTAAATATTTGTAAATTTATGACCTTAACCCTAATTATAATTTTCAATGGGTAGCATGTCAAATTGCCACGCCATTGCTTAATTTGCCGTGCTTGGACAAACAATCAGAGAAGCAGAGAAACAATATTTTCAAGTCAGCTCATGTGAAACTGCTTTTCGTACTCAAAAACGATCAATAACATATATTGTTCCTTGAAAGAATCAGCATAAACTCTGATTTATTTCTTCCAGACTTTCGATAAGGCCGCCTTTGTATAAACAATGGAAAGATATCGTTTAGAGACCAAGGTAATATACGGCGATATCAACATCTCGAATTTCTTTCGAAGTTGAAAGATATATTAAACAAACAAATAGGCACTTCATGCTGACTGTTGAGAAAATTATTATAAGCGCTAGTTTGATGTACACTACAGGGTTGTCTCACAAAAAGGCTGGTATATTCAAATAAACCCGAAGTCCTCTCAATAACATTCATTATTGAAACTCATTTTATTTACATGTTGTTTATTCGACTATATTTCAAGATTTTCTTTTTTCATTTAAGAGTTTCCTTCCCATGGATCTAAAATGAACTTTCATTAGCTTAAAATACAGTGTGTCAATTTTAACTCTTTGAAGATCCCGTTTTTCCATTATACATAAATATATCAGTCTCTAAACACACACTATACAAGTATTTGTTTACAAGTGGTCACATAACCTCACAGTTTGCCGGTGAAGTCCGTCTAGCCAACACGTGCTTTGCGTTCCACTATATTCTGAAAAATTTGCAAGTGTATTATTGCCCTAACTGTATTGTGTCTGCTCTCTAAGGTTAGTAATTTTTTTCGAGACTACTGGGTTTAATATGTCCCACCTAAAATGTCTAATGGGACACATATGTCCCGGCCCTTAGCGAAAAAAGGGCGTAACCTGCATTCATAAAACTAACATTTCTTGATATAGTATCCACATTTACATAAAATTTGACCTCAGATATATCACAAGTATAAGAAAAATAAATCAGACTCCAAAGGGTTAAAACTTACAATGGGCTGTATCTCACGAACGAAAGCTGATATCAAAAAATGCTTGAAACCGTTTCTAAGATAGTAAGGGGGAACTAAAGTGGCATGAAAGAGAAGTCACCCCACCCCCATCAACCTCCTAGGCACCACCCACCAAAACACAAAAAGTTTAAATTGCAAACTCCTACTTGTGATACATCATTGAAAAGACTATTAAAAATGCTATCCAATGGTATAAATAATAATTGTACAGGGTGAAGCAATAATTGTGAAACTTTGGCTTAAATGGAATATTTAATGAGGTTTTTGTTGAACTACAAATTTATTAAAAATGTCAATTAAGTGAATGTCCAAAGTGGGTTCCGTTGTTTTGTGAACAATAATACATCCTATTGTCAAAGTCTGCACGATACTTTTTTTGTTAAATAAAAACTTAATTTGCCGTTTTTGCAAAACAATTTGAAAAGATCTGTTTTTTGGGTTCTGTCAGAGTCTATAATTTTTGGTTGTTTGAGACTTATAAAAGCCATTAGTTCTCATCATTCGTACGATCGGTATTGTCATTCAGCTGTAGTTGTCACGATGGTTTACAGTATACCTGAGCGCGTGGAGATAATTTTCATATTTGCCTCCCAGAACCAGTGTCATTTAAAAACAGCTCAAATATTTCATGATAGGTATCCGGACAAAAATGTAAGTCACGTGTACGTCCGCGATTTAGTTGAAAAGTTTTGAAAAACGGGATCAGTGCAAAATAAAAAAAGGAATGCCCCAAGATTACTGAATGAAGCAACCCAAATTGAGGTCCTTGGAAATTTTGCGTGACCTAAGCAAACTTACGCTTTTTTTGCATTTCAATTATTATTGTGTATTGTTGTGATTGTGA